ATGTACTGTGAGCACGGTTGCAAGCAGGACGAGAACGGTGCGACACGTGTTTGCAAAGGTAAATCATTATCATCATCGGTATCAACACATTATCATTATTATTATTATTATTATTATTATTATTTCAGCCAACCCCTTGTGTCCAGAGTTTATGTGCATGATGTACTGTGAGCATGGTTTCGAACAGGACGAGAATGGGTGCGACACCTGTGTTTGCAAAGGTACAGTAAACCTAGTTGTCTCATCTCAATACAAATATCATTAAACATATGACTATCATTATTATATTCATATGATTATTATTAATACTATTATTATTATTAAATGTTATTATTATTATTAATAAATATTATTATTATTTATTATTATTATTAATAAATGTTATTATTATTATAAAATATTATTATTATTATTATTATTATTATTATTATTATTATTATTATAATAATTATTATTATTATTATTTCAGCCAACCCCATGTGTCCAGAGGTTATGTGCATGATGTACTGTGAGCATGGTTTCGAAAAGGACGAGAATGGGTGCGACACCTGTGTTTGCAAAGGTACAGAGTAAACCTAGTTGTCTCATCCCAATGCAAATATCATTAAATATATTACTATCATTATTATGTTCATATTATTATATTATTATACATATTATTATTCATATTATTATTATTATTATTATTATTATTATTATTATTATTATTATTATTTTAGCGAACCCCTTGTGTCCAGAGGTTATGTGCATGATGTACTGTGAGCACGGTTTCGAACAGGACGAGAATGGATGCGATATGTGTGTTTGCAAAGGTAAATCATTATCATCATCACCATCGTTATCATCACTAGCCTATAATCATTATCATCATCTACCATCATCATCATCATTTCCATTATTATTATTATCCTATTATTATTATTAATATTATCATCATCATCATTGATATTGTCATCATTAATATTATTAATATAGTATTAAATTATTATTATTATTATTATTATTATTATTATTATTATTATTATTATTATTGTTCTGATATTACTATTTCAGCCAACCCATTGTGTCTAGCTATTAGGTGTATGATCTTTTGTGAGCACGGTTACGAACTGGACGATAATGGGTGCGATACGTGTGTTTGCAAAGGTAATTCATCGTCATTATCACCATCATCATCATCATCATACCATCATCATCATCATCATCAAATAACATCATCATTATTTTTATTAATGGTCTAACATTAATATTTCAGCAAACCCCTTGTGTTCAGAAGTTTTTTTTTCTTTTGTTGACCAAACACATTTATCCACAATCAAATATATTCATTCAGTAACAAATCTTGATGAATGTAGTGAGCTTCCTGACTATGCAAGACAATTTTTTTTCCACTGTTGACCGAAGGTCATTAATCTACAACTCTATCAAACATTAAATTATTTATAATCACATAGTACGTCATAATAAAATACAATATATTAATTATTACAATGAAATAATGAATGTTCGAGTCAACTGCAAAATATTAATCAGTCAATAGGCCTATAGCTTAAAAATAATCAGAATGTAATGACAGTGTAAATATATAAAATGAAAAATAACTCCAAAAACTATTTATTATTTATTATTATTATTATTATTATTATTATTATTATTATTATTATTATTATTATTATTATTATCATCATCATCATTAATATTATCATCATTAATAATATTATAGTATAGTATTAAATTAATATTATTATTATTATTATTATTATTATTATTATTATTATTATTATTATTATTATTATTATTTCAGCCAACCCCTTGTGTGCAGAGGTTATGTGCATGATGTACTGTGAGCATGGTTTCGAACAGGACGAGAATGGGTGCGACACCTGTGTTTGCAAAGGTACAGAGTAAACCTAGTTGTCTCATCTCAATGCAAATATCATTAAATATATTACTATCATTATTATGTTCATATTATTATATTATTATACATATTATTATTATTATTATTCATATTATTATTATTATTATTATTATTATTATTATTATTATTATTTTAGCGAACCCCTTGTGTCCAGAGTTTATGTGCATGATGTACTGTGAGCATGGTTTCGAACAGGACGAGAATGGATGCGACATGTGTGTTTGCAAAGGTAAATCATTATCATCATCACCATCGTTATCATCACTAGCCTATAATCATTATCATCATCTACCATCATCATCATTTTCATTATTATTATTATCCTATTATTATTATTATTATTATTATTATTATTATTATTATTATTATTATTATTATTATTATTATTATTATTTTTATTATTATTATTATTATTATTATTGTTATTATTATTATTATTATTATTATTAGCATCAACATTGATATTGTCATCATTAATATTATTAATATAGTATTAAATTATTATTATTATTATTATTATTATTATTATTATTATTATTATTATTATTGTTCTGATATTACTATTTCAGCCAACCCATTGTGTCTAGCTATTAGGTGTATGATCTTTTGTGAGCACGGTTACGAACTGGACGATAATGGGTGCGATACGTGTATTTGCAAAGGTAATTCATCGTCATTATCACCATCACCATCATCATCACCATCATCATCATACCATCATCATCATCATCATCAAATAACATCATCATTATTTTTATTAATGGTCTAACATTAATATTTCAGCAAACCCCTTGTGTTCAGAATTTTTTTTTTCTTTTGTTGACCAAACAAATTTATCCACAATCAAATATATTCATTCATTAACAAATCTTGATGAATGTAGTGAGCTTCCTGACTATGCAAGACAATTTTTTTTCCACTGTTGACCGAAGGTCATTAATCTACAACTCTATCAAACATTAAATTATTTATAATCACATAGTACATCATAATAAAATACAATATATTAATTATTACAATGAAATAATGAATGTTCGAGTCAACTGCAAAATATTAATCAGTCAATAGGCCTATAGCTTAAAAATAATCAGAATGTAATGACAGTGTAAATATATAAAATGAAAAATAACTCCAAAAACTATTAAATAAGCAATTGGAGCCCCAAAATTGTCTTATTTTTGGGGGGAATTCCACCCCAGAATCAATTACCCCAACATTTTATGTGACGCCCATATACATATACACATACATATCCACAAGTTATGTATATGATGTACTGTGAGCACGGTTGCAAGCAGGACGAGAACGGTGCGACACCTGTTTGCAAAGGTAAATCATTATCATCATCGGTATCAACATATTATCATTATTATTATTATTATTATTACATTATTATTATATTATAAATCTTTATCATCATCATCATCTCCATCATCATCATCGTCATCATCACTGCCATCATGATCATAGTTCTCATTTCGATTATTATTATTATTATTATTATTATTATTATTATTATTATTATTATTACATCATTATTACAGTATTATCATTAATAAACGCCGCCTTGTATTTTTTGAAAAAGAAGGCGTTAAACAATCGATTTCTCATGGAATTATATTATTGGTATCGTTGCTACAAAGTCAGGTGGTCTCATGTACAACGCATGATGTTTTAGTAAGGTATATTTGCTGAGGTCAGTGTGTATTGTATGGATACTTGAATTGTTGAAAAAACAGATACAGTAACGATGAAGATACTGTATATAAAATGTTATGTTTTGTTTAATGGGACGGTTCTATTATGCGTAAACTTGGCTCGTACACTAACAAAATATTACTGACGTACTTTGTCTTCGCGGGTGTGTTAGAGTGCATGCCTATACCCAGTTCCTGGCACGGTACTATAATACTTGCTTTTATTATGATGGTAACTGATACAATAACTATTATTTGGACAATTTCATCTCAACACCATATAATAGCATTATATTTTATTGGATTAGTTTGAATGAGGAATTTTAATTGAGGCAATAAATACAGTATAAGCACACGCAATCACAAAACAAACACAAAGCCATTGCCTCCGCTATAAAAGCTAATAATAGATACTTAGTTCAAAATGTTCGTTTATACTAAAACCCTTGTCTCTACATTGAAAGAGTACAAGCGGATATGTCACACTTCATCAAGATTTTAGGGTTTTGTTTTGGACTTACTGGAATTTTATCATCTGCAGAGAAGGAAATAAATTTAAAAGGTATAGTTATACGCTATCTAGTCTAAATATGCTGATATTTATTCTATTTTAATGATAGATTAAAATTACCACAAAGAAAGCTAGGTTACCTGACATCTGTAGGTAAAATCGCTTAAATGTCATCACCTCGGTACCGTTTCTAATTT